AAATCCGATTTAATTGACCAATAAATAATTAGATTTACCAATAAATTATTAGACTGACCAATAAATTATAAGAATTACTATGAAATTATTTGACTGATAAATGAATAATTAGATTGACCAATTAATTATTCGATTGACCAAAAACTTATTGTACTGACCAATGAATAATTAGATTGACCAATAAATTATTCGATTGACCAAAAAATTATTGTACAGACCAATGAATAATTAATTAGATTGACCAATAAATTATAAGACTGACTAATAAATTATTAGACTGACCAATAAATTATTACGCTGTTATGATAAGAGAAGCAACTCAATGAAAGAAAAATATTTTGATCAGTGTTCATCTTCTGACTCAAGCTTAGAAATATTCTTTTTAAACTTTACACAGTTTTAATGGTGGTCAGAACACATTAAAAATATTTTCTTGTAGTAATAATCAAAGAGGAAAACCGCAGTACTTTTCAGAAGACTGACTGTTAAATGCAATGACACATCCAACAATTCTAAGAGTGTATGTATATCATGTAATTAAATTATTGTGTGTCAGTATTGTATTTTCTTGTTCCTGCAAGCCTTAACTTCTTCTTGCCCAAACGGACAGAGTACAATGAAAATAAGTGGGTTTCTTCACTCAAATACAATTTATTGTAACTAGAATTTACTTCCCAGAGAAGCCACTGAGTTTACTGACATTCAATTTATTTATCAAAATTCTCCTTTTTTTGGTTTATTAAAATAAAAATGCAACTCCTTATTTCATGGATTTGAATATTTTGTAACTTAACCAAAAAAAAGGTGTTTTTTTTTTAATTGAATTGTTCAAATACTTTGTGGCTGTACAAATAGCTTGACATCTCATGGGCCACATGTGATATGTTCAAAATGCCCGACATATTTCATGAGCATGAGATGACAAGATCTATTTCTGCATTTTGGGGTTAAACAAGACAATGCCACAGAAGTATTATTAAATGGGAGGCCATCCCCAGCAACTTTGTTAACAACAATCAATTATAATTCATTTTTTTTTTTTTTTTTTTCTCAAAGTGTTAATGACAACGAACTTTTCTTTTGTATATAGGCCCATGTGAACTAAGTCAAAGTTTGGACCTCAAAATGTTGGATTAAAATGAAAATGCCAATTGGCCAGGAATTACAAAACTTTCTACACAATTATTCAAGGGGCCATGAAGTAATATAGGAAAGATCTAGAGGCATAATTTTGTTTTAAGTTAAATCTGAAAAAAAAAAAATTTCTAAATTTCTTATTCACCACCAGTCCATTTAATTATTTAGTAACCGTTGGCGTTGCCATGGTAAAGACGTTTACAATTTAGCAAAGACATTGCGTGCCAGTTTGGCCTGACAGCTGAAAATACTCATGTAAATATCACCATTTCTGTTATGTTACCTCATGTTTGGACTTTTCCCCACATTCACCAGCTCAGTAGCACTAGAACCTTTTTCTTGGTTAGTCATTGGTTTCCACTTAATGTTGATGGCAATTTTAAAATGTTTTTGTAGTGATTCCTGCTTATTTGAACTTGCTTGCATCTGAAATGTTTGCAAACACAATTTCCAGTAGAAATCTCAGTTTGAGAAATCCAACACATTTATCCCCCCTCTCGTGGTGGTGCATTTATGTAACCATTGTAATCCATTGTACAATCGACCTAACTTACTGTAAAGTCACATGTCATTCATTATCTGTCGGTTTAAGGAATGTTGGCGTTTTATTTTAGTCAGATGTGTCGTGCACCTAAGTTGGCACAAATTAACCAATGAAAAGTTTCAAATATTTATTGTTGCACTTCTGGAACTTACAGATCAATAATTAGAATTCCTCAGTTGAGGTGTTCTGATCTGAAATTGAGATGAAGAGATTATAACAGTGAAATAATTTATTCTCTTCCTAAACTATTGAGATTCATCAATTTGTGACAGGGACATTAAATTTTTGACAGATAAATTATAGAGTCAATAATGTATTAAATTAATTACCATTCATTTAAATAGTGAAAATGACTCAAAATTGTGACAAATACTTTAATTTAGTAATGATACATTAAAAAGTAATGAAACATCAAATTAATAAAATAAGTTAAATTATTAATGATAAATTAAATTAATGAGGATACATTAACTCAGGAGGGATCAATTTGTTAATTCAGTGACATACATGTAGATGAAATAATTGGCATTCACAGTAACTAAGGATTTATTAAAATGTATTAAAGCAGTATTCTTTTGTAACAATTGTTATAATAATATTATCAGGTCATAATATCCCCATGCTTGTTGACGTTCACTTTCTGTGAAACACTTGAAATAAATCTGCATTTACATGAATCCAATGTGTATCAATGTATTTAACATATGAATTGTCATGTATCAAAGTTATTCAAATCAGTTTATGTAGCTAGATCATTTCATCATTGGGGATCATGCAGTAGTGTATTGGTTGAAGAATGGGATATGAAGTTGGTAGGGCAGTGGGACATGCAGTTGGTAGGTCAGTGGGAGATGAAGTTGGTTAAACAATGGGATATGAAGTTAGTAGGTCAGTGGGACATGAAGTTGGTTAAACAATGGGATATGAAGTTGGTAGGTCAGTGGGACATTCAGTTGGTAGGTCAGTGGGACATGAAGTTTGTAGGTCAGTGGGACATGAAGTTTGTAGGTCAGTGGGACATGAAGTTTGTAGGTCAGTGGGACATGAAGTTGGTTAAACAATGGGACATGAAGTTGGTAGGTCAGAGGGACATGACATTGGTTGAACAATGGGATATGAAGTTGGTAGGGCAGTGAGACATGCAATTGGTATGTCAGTTGGACATGAAGTTGGTAGGGCAACAAGACATGAAGTTGGTGGGGCAGTGGGACATGACAGGTACCTATAATATTTCGTATGATTCTTTTGCTAAGGAATTGAATTGACTGCCTTGAAATACTTTTGTGGCACTTAAGTTGGATATAGTAGTTTTATCAAATCATCTCCTGGTACCCTGTGACTGGCATCAATAGTTGGATATAGTAGTTTTATCAAATCATCTCCTGGTACCCTGTGACTGGAATCAATAGTTGGATATAGTAGTTTTATCAAATCATCTCCTGGTACCCTGTGAATGGCATAAATTTAAATCTTAAGAGAAGAAAAGATAAAATTTCTTGAACTATTTAATAATGAAATTTCTATTTTGTTTATTATCGTTTAAAAATCGACTATAATTTTAAATAGGTCCAATGGTATCCTAACATTCTTCTTTTCCCAGCAGTTCAAGTCCAGCATGGGGATGTTTAAAAAATACAACCCAAAAGTTGAATGTCAAGATCTTTCTATAGTAACAGTATTAGATAGATGTAGCCTAAGGTGGCATTTGTTTGTCATTTTTTTTTGCCTTAGATTGAGCAGGTTTGTGACTGAATGATTCCAGAAATTTTCAACATTTTTTGTGTATAGCAATGGTTCTCACATCTGCAAATTTACTTTCATCACATGTTACATTTTGACAGATCTTGTTATAAAAATACAGTGTTGTGCATAAAAGTATATGTTTCTCATGTAAGTTGTTGAAATATAAAATGTATCCAGTACGTATATAATCATGTACATAGTTGTATTCTATTATTATAATGTAATGATGGTGGTACAGAATTATTTCCCCATTCATCATTGATAAGCAGCATTATCTCCCCTGTACACGTCTATAGAACAATTTTATATCCTGTTGTACCAGTTAACAGTTATTTATTGCATCTCTTCATTTTCCTTTATTGAAAACAATAAATTGTTGATGATGTTTACATTACTGAACAGTGTCTGGTTTGTTTATTTGAAATGTACCACGTATTGTTATAATAACTATAATAACGTTCTAGTAGACTAGTTGATATCAGCATATTTCAAAACATCCTCCAAAGTCCGGTCCCAAATTATTTCGTATGAAAAAAATTGCAATGCACAGTGTCTATTGTTAGAAAACAGCAGAAATGTCAGTCACAGCTTTTGCAGATAACTGTGACTTTACAAACCAGTCAGTAAATACTAAATGTTGTCATTGGCACATAGCATTTGCTGATACCAGCCGAAAACGTGCTGCTGGTGACTGTTGCGCCACTGAAGGCCTCCAAGTAGCTGGCAAACAGACCGCGACTAGTACCACTCTGATAGCGGAGTTTACGTTTCGCTTGCATCCAAAGTCCTTCAATAATTTATGTGTGAATGTCCTGGTCTACTATATCAACAAATTCACGTGAGTGCACAATGACAGCGTCAGCATAACTCCCGTTGTTGAGCTGACCGACATTTTGATATCTTCGCCAAGCGTCCATGACGATAGTTGCCCCTGGTGACACATGATTAGTAGTGATAATGGGCTCGAGTGTTCAGTGTTTGTGCATCTCGACGGCCAACATCGTCCACTAACGCAAACATAAATTTCAAAACAGAATGATGCCCAAGACTTATAAGTAAGGAGTAATCACTGAAAATAATTTGGGACCGCACTTCGGAGGATTGCCCAAAATGTCAATATTCGATGCGTTATGTTATTGGTGATGCTAGGAAATAGCCAAATTATAATTCCTGAGCCACGTGAAATAGCCACACTTTAATTCCTAGGCCACATTACAATTCCTGGGCCACTTAATCATCAACTGTTGCTGCTACGGTCAGGATGTTTGTGGCAGGAACATTTGGAACAGAATTAACGAAACGAGCCGGGCAAATAGAATAAACAAATCTGGTCATTTTTTTTACAGACAACTTCCGCTATGCCAGAGGCTGATTGGCGCATGGAAAGTGTGTGTTTTTATTAACTTTCAAAAAAAAAAAAAAAAAAAAAAAATCATGTTCATTAAACATGACCAAACCCTCTTGAGGCATTGTATTTCTCATGATTATATCCCCTTTCCACGAGCAATAAGTTATTGATCCCCAAGCAGACTATCGATAAATCAATCAGGTTAGGGGAATCACATGGGACTTCTCAAGTATACCTTTCAACACACACACTTTTTTGTTCAGCTGTGTTGTTATGACTTGGGTACACATTTCAGTGTTGATTCCTCATTTCTGATCACGTTAAGAGGATCACGTTAAGCACGATGCCACTAAATTCTCAGTGCTGTGTGTGATTTTTATTAATTCATTTTGAATAAAGCTTCCATTTTATATAAGGTATAAACTTGTTTTACTTAGGCCTCATTTAAGGACATGTGTATTTCAATGTGTGGAGTCTTGCTGTTGTTAACTAACTTGTTGTAACACACGTTTCACATATCTTCTTCTCTTGTCACACTGCCATTTTCCTTGTCACGATGCCACATCCCTTGTCACACTGCCAATTCCCTTGTCACACTGCCGCCCTGTCTAGCCACACTGGTATCTCCCTTGTCACACTGGTATCTCCCTTGTCACACTGGTATATCCCTTGTCACACTGCCACCTCCCTTGTCACACTGTCATCTCCATTGTCGCATTGTCACCTCCCTTGTCACACTGCCATCTCCCTTATCACACTGCCACCTCCCTTTCCCCACTGCCACCTCTCTTGTCACACTGCCACCTCTCTTGTCACACTGCCACCGCTATTGCCTCTCTGCTCATGTTCAACTTTGTTTTGTTCCTTTGTGAACCAGAGTACAGTTGAGTTGACAGATGCTTGCAGCGTACAGACCAAATATGCCACCCAAACCTCGACCTCCCCCTCTCTCGGACGACTCTGTGATTTATCCGACCAACCGACTGCCCCGACTGGATGTGCCAATTATGACGTAAGTCTGAGAACGTGTCGTCACTGTTTGATTGGTGATCTATTTAAATCAACAATCTGGGAGAGGTGAAGGGATTGTTGTAAAGGAGGTTTTATCTTTAAATTTCAGTTCCTGGTGAGCCTGACGGATTCAACTAAGTTGCCAGTTTTTAATTTTTACAATAATCCTCGACTAATGATGACGTCTTAAGAATTTCAATATAATATACTAGATATAGCCCGCCAAACATTGGCGACAGCAATGCGTGAACTTCTCATCTAGTAAAGTTACTTGACAAAACATGAACTCAAATAACGCACATTTAAAAGAATCCAATATTTGCTACACCCCTCCCCCCTCCCATGATACGTCACTGCACACTTTTTATTCCACGCCCATGAACTATATTCTCATGTCCAAACCCCTTTTAAACCGAATATTTTTTACACCATACTTGAGAGGGTTCCCTTGTCCCAAAAGAAAATTCTACGCGCCAAACGTATTTGCGTTATTAAAAATATATACATATATATAATTTAGCGTAGTTAACTCATAATTGAACCACACTCTGGCGTATCTATAAATAGCCTGCGTCTTGTTTGACCCGTCTTGTTTGACCTTTGCTGGCGAATTATATAATATATAGTATATATATTTCTATTCTATTTTATTATTTGTTTTGTTTTCTTACGTGAAGTTTTTTTACTCCTTGTAACACTTTTGAATCCCAGTTTTGCATATAATTAATGCAGATGTTAGAAAACAAAACAGACAAAACTGTATGTTAGATAACAATACATACAAAACTTTAATGGCTTTAGCTGAATAATTCCTAGCATGTCTTCTGTTCTTATCAAATTTATGATGTCCGTTCGCTATGTGTTACTTGAATCTAATTTTCAAAAGTGTGATTGTTTAAAAAAAAAATTAAAAAAATTAAAAAAACGGAAAAAAAATTAAGAATTGTAGGATTTTGAAACAGTCTTATGATATTCGATTCTATTAAGCGGCTGATTCCAATAACCAGTAATCACAATAAACGGTTGATACTGTAGGCATACGATGATTAATAACAATTTTTTTTTGTGGCATTTTCCGCCAGATTTCCGGCTCCTGGGTCAGAAAATCAAACTCCGCTTGGCATCCATGACGACAAAGGGACATCACCACCCAGTGCTGTGGTGCCCGAGAAAACTTTATACAACATCTGGGAGCAGACGAGAACACAGACCGAGGTCAAGTGGACCAGGCCGGACAACGCCGGCAGTTTTGATTCCATGGCGTATGAGATTCAGATCAATGATGGCGACGGCACGTGGCAGAACCTGACCGAGAATAGAGTTCCGGTCTATCGCGTCTATTTTGCCGAGGGCAAGGCTATTTTCGGCAGAACGAGAATCTGTCAACAAAGAGCCACAGCTGTGGTCAGATTAAGGGTGAGGCCGATTGGGATTATCAGTCGGCACGGAGCGGAAGAAAGATTACTTGGACCGTGGTGTGAAAATATTTTGTTCTCCATTGAAGGCACGAACTCTAAGACGTGATCGGCCGTTGCGCCTGCTGTATTCTGATGTGCATTTTTCTGTGTATGTATCATGTTGATGTTTGGATTATTTAGTGACACTGTGCTCTGAAACAAAACTAAAATTATTGTCTGTCCTTTTTTAGCGTTATAAAAAACAAATGCGTTAACACGGATTGTTTTGTTGGATATATTAAACCGATAATTTTGATGTCTTCGATTTTTTTTTAAATTTCATCAAAAGGGCTGTCCATTAAGTAAGTCACGCTATTATTGAAAAACGTTTAAGCCCTCCCACCCCCCTGTCGCAAAGCTCAGACACCCCTCCCCCCCCCCCAAAAAAAAAAAAATATGTCACACTTTCAAACTAAATAATAATTATTTGATCTAAATCACACTTCACGATTAAACTGTTAAATATATAGACGTGATATATTCTGCCAGAAGACATGTATCACAACAGACATCCATCACGGTCAAATTCAGTTGTTGTTGTTTTTTTGTGATTAAAAATGTGTGATGACGCACAAGATCTTTACCCCACCCAGCATCCTCGTGTGACAAACTGTCACACTTTCTTAGCCTCCCCCCCCCTCCACTTGCCCCTCCGGAGCGTGACGTACTTTATGGAACCCCCCCCCCCCAACACAAAAAAAAAACAAAAAAAAATAAGCCCAATTTTGTTACCGTATTTATCGGCGTATAACACGCCCCCGCGTGTAACACGCACCTCAATTTAAGAAGGACATTTCAGGGGAAAAAAAAAAAACATTATATCGGCGTATAACACGCACACAAAATTTGCCCCCCCCCCCCCCTATTTTCAGGGAGAAAAAGTGCGTGTTATACGCCGCCGATGAATTCGGTATTTGAATGGCTGAATTCACAACCTGTCAATGGTGGGTAGAGCGAAAGCAGGAATCAGTAGCTCCACAGTTTTTAAAAGTTGGAAGAAACAAAATAATATGACATCAGGCTGGCAGATTAGTCAATTTTCTTATTGCTCATGTCAACTTTTTAGAAACAGAATAAACTCAGAGGCTATCAGAATTGTATTGTTGTGTTAACTTCCTCAGTGTATTTTCTTCTTAAATTTTGTTCCCATACGTTTCTTTACTTTATCAAATTTTATTTGAATTTTGATCGATAAATAGGATTATCGATACTAAACTTTTTCTCTAAGCTTTATTCTTAGAAAACTTGCAGCTTTAGTAATCAAATATTTCGGGGAGGGGAAGTAAAAGTTCTGACTGCTCTATTGTATCCGCCCACAATTCTGACTGCTACATTGTAGCCTCCTACAACCCACCATTCTGTCAGGTCTCATGTATCCTCCCACTGGTTCATTGTAGGTTGCAGCAATGTTTCCTTTAAGCTGCGCAGCAGTTTTGAGTATCCGCGCAGAAAATTTCCATGTAAGTTTGTGTTTGTCGGCTGTAAAAATTTGCACACGCAAAAATTGATGCTGTAAAACTTTGCACACAACTGTATGATTTTGTATCAAATAAATACGATATATTTATACAACTAGAACGTGTCTGACCACACATGCTATAGTGACGTCTGACCACACACACTATAGTGACGTCTGACCACACACACTATAGTGACGTCTGACCACACACACTATAGTGACGTCTGACCACACACACTATAGTGACGTCTGACCACACACACTATAGTGACTGCCATCAGTTTTCTCGTTCCTTCGTGATTTAATCTGTTGACTTGCGTGGCGCCGCGGCATTTAGTCAGATAAGGCATCTATGTAGGAATAGATGTGTCTGATAGGGCATCTTTGTAGGAATACATGTGTCTGATAGGGCATCTTTGTAGGAATGCATGTGTCTGATAGGGCATCTTTGTAGGAATACATGTGTCTGATAGGGCATCTTTGTAAGAATACATGTGTCTGATAGGGCATCTTTGTAGGAATAGATAAGTCAGATAGGGCATCTTTGTAAGAACAGATGTGTCTGATAGGGCATCTATGTAGGAATAGATGTGTCAGGTAGGGCTTAATTTTAGGAATAGATGTGTCAGACAGGACATCGATGTGGTATAATATGTGTTCCAAGGAAGAGTGCAAGACGAGTTAGACGAGACAATCCCGCAGCATTTCTTCCATCTCAGTTGCCCTAAATGACAGAGTTCCATCACATACTGGTCAGATATAGGGCTATTAAGTCATTTATCAAGGATATATTCACACTTCACACACACCATATTATGTATATATACACACACTATATTATGTATGTATACACACACTATATTATGTATATATACACACACTATATTATGTATACACACACACTATGGTGTATATATATTGATATGATTCCTCCCTTGGTGCCGCTATTATTATGGATCCAAAACTTCCTCAACTATATATTACATTTTTTAACAATTATTAAATCAAATCAGCAGCATTGCATTACCCACAACACCTTCCGGCCCCTGTCAGAAAGATAAGACCACGTTGTTGTTATGAGATTATAAGGGTCAATTTTTTTCCTATTGATTATAATTTCAAATCTGCTGACATCGGTTTCCATTCACTGTCCTTTCTTAGCGCCGAGATTTACAAATAATCAATACCAGTCAGAGCAGTAGAGTGCCAATCAATAAAGTATCGACCCGATCGATAAGTCCATAGTCAATCGCAAACCATAAACAGTCATGAAATCTTATTTTAGCGCCAGGATTATGCCACTAACGTGTCAACTGTACGGTGTTTTCATTTGAAGAGGAGAAAGTGTCTCTTGCTGTAAATGGTGACTTAAGCCTTCAAAAAAATTAATCTTTACAAAATAACTGTATTTTCTGAAACCGTAAGTTGTCCTAAGTACATTGCATTGAGTTATCATCAACATAGCATACTTTCCTTGTTACGCTAAAGCACTCATTTATTGTACATTGGTTTTTTAACTCATTTTTCCACTTATGTTTTTTTTAATTTAAAGAGCTAATTTATGAACAACTATCTCTGACTAAGATTTTCTTTTTTCGTTACTCTGTAGGCTAATACTCAGTGGCGTATGAATGGGCGGGGTAATATATCAACCCCTGGTGACACTTTCATTATATTGGGGGGGGTGGGGGGGTGGGGCATTTTCGGCGCGAAAGACGCAAAACATAATTTAATTTGACTATCAATTAATACTCACTAGATGTAAACCGCCAACAATTGGCGACAGCATTGCGTGAACTTCCAATCTACTAAAGTGACTTGACAAAACATGAACTCAAGTAAAGCACATTTAAGAATCCAATTTTCGCTTTACCCCTTGCCTCCATAATACGTCACTGCACATTTTTTTATTTCACGCCCATGAACTATCTTAAATATTCTGCTGTCCCAACCACTTTTAAACCGAATATTTTTTACACCATACTTAAATTGAGACGATTTCATTGTCCCAAAAGGAAATTTTACGCGCCAAAGTTATTTGCGTTATTTTTTTAAAAATATATCCTTTAGCGTATTGAACTCATTTTTGAACCATACTTGCTTTCAAACACATAGAATTATTTGTAATATAATCTCAACACCAAATCCACGAGTCACACCAGAAGCTTAATATAGATAAGAGATAATTACTATGCATTAGAACTTTAATTGGCTAACTTATGATAAGTCTACTGTGTTCTAACTTCTCCTTTGTTCTAACTTCTGCGCCCGAGGAATGTTAAAGTATTTTGTTAGTGTAGGTCTATATTATTCCAGCTGTCACATAGGCCTATTTTATTCCATCTGTCACATAAGCATATATTCTTCCAGCTGTCACAAAAGCCGATATTATTCCAGCTATCACAAAGGCCTATATTATTCCATCTGTCACATAGGTCTATTTATTATTCCAGCTGTCACAAAGGCGTCTTTTATTTTGACGCAGTTAAATTGAAATTTTAGGTCAATAAAAAAGGAGCGACAAGCCGTGAATAAAGAGAAAAATCATCAAAGGTAAAAATTGGAGAGATATTTCTCTTGAAGACATGAAATGGGGTGACATGAAAAAACAAGCTCAATTCAGGCGTAGGAGACAGCTGGAATAATATAGGCCTGTGTGACAGCTGAAATAGTATAGGCCTGTGTGACAGCTGGAATAATATAGGCCTTTGTGACGGCTGGAATAATATAGGCCTGTGTGACGGCTGAAATAGTATAGGCCTATGTGACAGCTGGAATAATATAGGCCTTTGTGACAGCTGGAATAATATAGGCCAGTGTGACAGCTGAAATAGTATAGGCCTGTGTGACAGCTGGAATAATATAGGCCTTTGTGACGGCTGGAATAATATAGGCCTGTGTGACGGCTGAAATAGTATAGGCCTATGTGACAGCTGGAATAATATAGGCCTTTGTGACAGCTGGAATAATATAGGCCAGTGTGACAGCTGAAATAGTATAGGCCTGTGTGACAGCTGGAATAATATAGGCCTTTGTGACGGCTGGAATAATATAGGCCTGTGTGACGGCTGAAATAGTATAGGCCTATGTGACAGCTGGAATAATATAGGCCTTTGTGACAGCTGGAATAATATAGGCCAGTGTGACAGCTGAAATGGTATAGGCCTATGTGACAGCTGGAATAATATAGGCCTTTGTGACAGCTGGAATAATAAAGGCCTGTGTGACAGCTGAAATAGTATAGGCCTATGTGACAGCTGGAATAATAAATAGACCTATGTGACAGATGGAATAATATAGGCCTTTGTGATAGCTGGAATAATATCGGCTTTTGTGACAGCTGGAAGAATATATGCTTATGTGACAGATGGAATAAAATAGGCCTATGTGACAGCTGGAATAATATAGACCTACACTAACAAAATGCTTTAACATTCCTCGGGCGCAGAAGTTAGAACAAAGGAGAAGTTAGAACACAGTAGAAGTTAGGACACAGAAGAAGTTAGGACACAGGAGAAGTTAGGACACAGGAGAAGTTAGGACACAGGAGAAGTTAGGACACAGGAGAAGTTAGGACACAATAGAAATTAGGACACAGGAGGAGTTAGGACACAGGAGGAGTTAGGACACAGGAGAAGTTAGGACACCAGGAGAAGTTATGACACAGGAGAAGTTAGGAAACATGAGAAGTTAGGACAAGGGATAAGTTAGGACACAGGAGAAGTTAGGACACAGGAGAAGTTAGGACACAGGAGAAATTAGGACACATGAGAAGTTAGGACACAGGAGAAGTTAGGACACAGGAGAAGTTAGGACACAGGAGAAGCTAGGACACAGGAGCAGGGTTTCTTCCAGCACTGCCCCCCCACGGGGAAAGCCAAGTGCACCCCCCCCCCGAGCAAAATATGTCCAACAATAAATCAACTGGCACTGCTGACACTCCCCCCCCCCCCCGAAAAATCTGAAGTTCCCCCCGGGGGGGAAATTTCTGAAATATTCACTGCACAGGAGAAGTGAGGACACAGGAGAAGTGAGGACACAGGAGAAGCCGTGGGATAACTGGATTGAAATGTAGTAAGCCCGGGCTGGTTTCTCTCGAGGCCCGTAGTACGGTTAGAAGAATTAATACCAAATGAAACGTAGAAACAAATTTGTATTTTCTTAAATAAAAAGCCAGAACTGACAAACCGCTTCCTTATAAGCTGAGCCTGTTATCCTGCTACAATTCAATGTCACAACTCACTCGACACACTCGGGCAGCATTAGCTCTAGAGAGACACTCGGGGAGCAGTAGGGCTAGAGACACACTCGGGCAGTAGTAAGTCTATGAACACAATCGGACAGCAGTAGGTCTATAGACACATTCGGGCAGCAGTAGGTCTATAGAAACAATTGGTCAGCAGTAGGTCTATAGACACACTCGGGCAGCAGTAGGGCTATAGACACACTTGGGCAGCTGTAGGTCTATAAATACATTCGGACAGCAGTAGGTCTATAGACACATTCGGACTGCTGTAGGTCTATAGAAACACTTGTCAGCAGTAGGTCTATAGACGCACTCGGGAGGCGCTAGGGCTATTGACATACTCGGGCAGAAGTAGGTCTATAGTGACACACTAGGGCAGCAGTAGGTCTATTGACACACTCGGGAAGCAGTAGGTCTATAGACACACTCGGGAAGCAGTATGTCTATAGACACACTCGGGAAGCAGTAGGTCTATAGACACACTCGGGCAGCAGTAGATCAATAAAGATTAAAATGCTTTTTGTGACATTTAAATTCACACTCAAGGTATCATATTTCCAAAAACACCCAAGTTAACACCCAAGTGAATATATTTATAATCATTCTCAAGTGATCATAAATATCAAGTTGCTTGGTTTCATATAATTTAGTCCCAAGCTTCCTTTTCACCTTTGACAAACGTATACTGTTGTGTACAGAAGCATGCTGAATTATTGGTGTGTTACATCTTAACACGGTTTCGTCCATAAAGTGAGTGACGTTATTTTCAACAATTTTTACACCCCCCTCCCCCAGGTCACAAATATCGCTACTCCCAACCTCACCCCCTAGAGTGCTTCCAAGATTTAAAAAAAAAATGTTTTCAAATTCAAAGTAAAACACAGTTCATTATTAAAATTAGACACTTCTGACATCCTCTGTTAGAATACAGCCATCACAACAGCAAACTCAACATCACTGTCACTTTCAGCTTTTATATGTAGGATAAAAAAATATAAAATGTGTGACATCACATATGATTTACCCCCTCCCCCTCCCGAATCCCAAACTGTCTAACTTTCTTAGACCCATTCTCCCCTCCACCACAAACTGTCTTACTTTCTTAGACCCATTCTCCACTCCACCACAAACTGTCTAACTTTCTTAGACCCATTCTCCCCTCCACCACAAACTGTCCAACTTTCTTAGACCCATTCGCCCTTCCACCACAAACTGTCCAACTTTCTTAGACCCATTCTCCCTCCACCACAAACTGTCCAACTTTCTTAGACCCATTCTCCCTCCACCACAAACTATCTAACTTTCTTAGAGCCATTCTCGCCTCTAGAGCGTGATGTATTTTATTGATGAACACCCCCCCCCCCCCCCCGAGCAGACGACATGCAAGCTAAGCAAATTAGAAGCCGACATTTTAGGTCGTCCGTTGGTACATTATTGAACGAGAATTACGGAACCGCACTGTCTCCTGAAGCAACTGCAAGGATCACCCACCATCCAACAAGGCCGTCTGCTGGCACAGGAAATGGCCATACGGCCCCGACACGGAGTTTCAATAAGCCCGCCACACCATGTGGTGGAACCCCTCCGTACAATGACCACAACATACCGGACAGTGGACTAATAAAGAGGAATCGGTCATCGGATGGGTCAGAGGAAAGATACTCAAGGAATGATTCCTTTCGAGATGAGTTGCATTCTGGACAACTTGCTTCAGAGAATTCGACATCGCATGATCGGCTCTCCGTTCGATCAAAAAGATCTGATGTTTCGAATGATCGTACCTCTGCGACAGCTCATTCCAGTAGAAGTAAATTATTATCTGTCATATCTACATCGGAATCTATCAAATCTGGCTCATACCACGAACGGCCAACGTCTGCAACTAGCGACACCATCACCGAACACTCGACGGCATCTGTGTTACAAGACAACACACTCAAACCTTGCACACCATTCAGTGACGCGCCTTGTGACGCTGAGAATAGAGAAAGACTTTATCTTCCTTTTGATTTCCTGGGTGAAATTTTCCGTACTGACGTCATTCCACCTCCTCGATACTATGATGCGTACGCAGAAGCGATGGGTCTCAAATCAAGGGGCGCAAGCCGGGGTGTGCTCTCTAGTAGTCATTCGTGCCATTCGTCACATGGCATTGAATGGCCCCCCATCAACCGACCTAAGGCAAGCAGATCAACATCGCCGGGCAGAAATTCCCCAAAACCCACTCATAGTATCGCTTCAAGGCTCAGATCAGCCTGTTGTGTAGATCAAGATGTCATCGCCACGGGCTTAAAATCCGCAGGAATCCGTAGAGAAGATTCTGTCAGCTCAAAATCTTCATCAGCAACCCGAATGCCTTTCAGATTTTAACGTTTCGACCATCGAGACGAAGGGCATCTCCAACCAATCAATCGCCATCCTTTGGGCGAACGCAAGACTTCAGCCTTGACATTTTCCAATACTGACAGCGCCCGCCGTCATATTTTAAGATCAAATATGGAGGAACATGAGAATTGGTACTCCGGTCGAACCCCGAGCCACACGCCCACGCCGGACTACACGCTTCCTCACCACCCGTCCAAGCGGTGGACCAAACACTACTCTCCGACCAGAATCCGCCACTTTCTCCGGGCTACAGCAGAGGCCACACGTAAACAAACACAACAGCACTACTGAGAAACCACAGGCTCTCGAACTACTGGGTACTATAAAATAGATCCAGAAATTAGAGAAATATCTCACAATATTATCAATGCTTTTATTTACAGTGTAGCCTTTCTAATTAATAAAGGACTGCGTTCAAGAAAATAGAAAAACAAGGAATGTGGAAGCTTGAAATAGAAAGACGAGACAATTTTTTGTTGAAAGAACGTTTCCGCTGAGCCTTTTATAAGACGGAGAAATTTTTGCTGCCGGTGAATCATCGCACTTATTTCCCTTGAGTTTCAGCTTTATAAAACAAAACAAAAATGGGGAAAAGTTTAAAAACCGAAAATGTGTTTTACTTTGAAATGGTGGCTCAGATAAACGACAATTCCTTGCTGGGATCACACTGTGAAATGGTGGCTCAGATAAACGACAATTCCTTGCTGGGATCACACTGTGAAATGGTGGCTCAGATAAACGACAATTCCTTGCTGGGATCACACTGTGAAATGGTGGCTCAGATTAACGACAATTCCTTGCTGGAATCACACTGTGAAATGGTGGCTCAGATTAACGACAATTCCTTGCTGGGATCACACTGTGAAATGGTGGCTCAGATAAACGACAATTCCTTGCTGGGATCACACTGTGAAATGGTGGCTCAGATAAACGACAATTCCTTGCTGGAATCACACTGTGAAATGGTGGCTCAGATTAACGACAATTCCTTGCTGGGATCACACTGTGAAATGGTGGCTCAGATAAACGACAATTCCTTGCTGGGATCACACTGTGAAATGGTGGCTCAGATAAACGACAATTCCTTGCTGGGATCACACTGTGAAATGGTGGCTCAGATAAACGACAATTCCTTGCTGGGATCACACTGTGAAATGGTGGCTCAGATAAACGACAATTCCTTGCTGGGATCACACTGTGAAATGGTGGCTCAGATTAACGACAATTCCTTGCTGGAATCACACTGTGAAATTGTGGCTCAGATTAACGACAATTCCTTGCTGGAATCACACTGTGAAATGGTGGCTCAGATTAACGACAATTCCTTGCTGGAATCACACTGTGAAATGGTGGCTCAGATTAACGACAATTCCTTGCTGGAATCACACTGTGAAATGGTGGCTCAGATTATCGACAATTCCTTGCTGGGATCACACTTTGGAATGGTGGCTCAGATAAACGGAAATGCTTTACTGGAATCACATATGTTACATCTCACCTATTATTTAATGTTACAAATTTCCTGACTTTATGTTTTAATTCGTAGTTTCAGCAATTTGTTTATATTTTGCCTGGCGTCATCAGACCCAGATTAACAATTAGCCAATTGAACAATTTAATGGTAGTTAAAAAAAATATATAAATATCATATTATAAAACGATTTGGTCAGATTAGAACAGCTAAGTTTTATTTTCAACGTTTATATCTATTGATGTTTATATCTATAAATGTTTATATCTATTGATGTTTATATCTATAAATGTTTATATCTATTGATGTTTATATCTATTGATGTTTATATCTATAAATGTTTATATCTATTGATGTTTATATCTATTGATGTTTATATCTATTGATGTTTATATCTATACATTTTTATATCTATAGATGTTTATATTTATCGATGTTTAAATTTATTGATGTTTATATCTATTGGTGTTTATGTCTATTGATGTTTATATCTAATGATGTTTTTAATACTGAGTTGTTGGGGCGCACAAAACGCTTTAGTGTTTAGGTTTTCTAAAGGTCTTAATCCCGCCCTGGGTGTCATATAGACTGACAGATGCTCGCAGTCAGAGATGTAACATGTAAACACACCCCACAGCTGATTATAACGATCATGTCGAGGAATTGAGATCTCATATCTGGTAACCAGACCAGTGAAAACACGCTCATAGCATGTAGCGAAACATGGGCTTAAAGGTTAGATGACCAGTGAAAACACGCTCATAGCATGTAGCGAAACATGGGCTTAAAGGTTAGATGACCAGTGAGACTCAGAGGACTAGTCAGGCTCAGATGACCAGTCAGACTCAGAGGACCAGTCAGACTCAGAGGAACAGTCTGGCTCAGGGGACCAGTCAGGCCTAGAGGACCAGTCAGGCCTAGATGACCAGTCACGCCCAGAGGACAAGTCATGTCAAGAAAATTAGTGAAACAAAGTATGGGAAACCCTAAAAAATAATGAAAAAAAAAACAAAACAAAAAACGAACGTGTCGGCAGAACGCCTTCATCGGCGAAAAAACAAGAGTAAAAACAGAATAAAATAAAAATAGCAGTTTGATGAAATGCAGTATCCGATAAGGCAGCAAGAGAATTGTCATAAATTATATCGATATTTAAATATATATATATATATATATATATTGTTTACTAGCGATGTTTATTTTCAGGCATTTCAGAAGGGAACAAAAAAAAAGGAGGGGGGGGGGCAATTCAGCTGGCCTCTGAGAAAAATATATATATAGAGAGAAATTTTCATTTTAACTTATTAAATTGAGGGAAATGTGAACCAAATCAAAGTATTTGATGTTGTTAGCGTCTTATTTTTACACCGGTATTGTAATTATTTTTTTTTGCACAATAATTGGTTTAAAAGATTAAATTATGGGGGAAAAGTGCGGCATATTCTATGAACAATGCCAAATTAAACTAATTTCCATCGCTATGCAGGCCTATATTTTGAATTTGTATGTCTTTACACTATAAGGTAAACTTGTACAAAGTGCAGGGTGTTCATTATGTAACGTCATTGTGCTTTTAAAAATATCGTTATTTGGAGCCGTCCATTAATTGCGTCAACAAAAAAGGGGGAGGGGTTTGGGGGAAAAGTTTAACAATTTTTTTAACAGGAGGCCGGGCGGGGGAGAAGTCAACAGAAATTGACATCAACAACTCTATTTTACTTTGATATATATATATATATATATATATAATTATTAGACCTAGATAAATTATTGCAAAATAATTGTTAATCTTAACATTACTGGCTATAAAATTTAGTATAATTTTAAATGGTCGGCTTTAAATATTAGCGAAAAAGATACAGCCAATCCGAGTGGCTGCCGGAATTCAGAGAGAGCCGGTAGCCTTTTTGTACAGAGAGTAAATGCTGATATTTTATTCGTTGGATTGTTCGACGTGACAAGGATGACGTCAGCTATCAACGTGGAGATTTTTTTAAAAAGCAAGAAATTAACTAACAATAATATTTAGAGATATGCCATTCTTTGATCTAATTCTGCAATGGAAAATTGACTAGTAACAGATTCTATTTGAACAAATTTTTAAAAAGTTTTAGAACTTTGAAAACTTGTAATAAATATTTGTTCCCTGCCTAAAAAACTCACAATTATTTCCTTTTTTTCTTTGGAAAAAAAAGGGGGGGGGGGGGTAACAATTGTTGACATAATTAACTAAAGTGGTGCTTGAAAGTTTGAAAATTGGTCGATAATGAAATTTAAAATCGTTTACTTAATTAATTTACGGCTCCTTTAACAAATTTTTAAAAAGTTTTAGAACTTTTAAAACTTGTAATAAATATTTGTTCCCTGCCTAAAAAACTCACAATTATTTCCTTTTTTTCTTTGGGAAAAAAAGGGGGGGGGGGGTAACAATTGTTGACATAATTAACTAAAGTGGTGCTTGAAAGTTTGAAAATTGGTCGATAATGTAATTTAAAATCGTTGACATAATTAATTTACGGCTCCTTGGTATAATTTTCGGCATTTATAAACAATTTATAAAAGTTACCATAAAAAATATTCAACTAAACAGTATTTTTTCTCTTTTGTTTCTAATATAAATATAAAATATATCAGTACATCTGCTTTTTGTGGCGGCCACCTTTTTGTATGGAAACTTTTTAAAAAAAGTTCATTTAAAAAAATTAAAATGAAACTATTTATTTCTTTAAAATGATAGAGCTTAACGAAATAAATAGTTTCAATAAAAATATTGATAAAGATCAATACTAAAAGTATTTAATCACAAGCCTAAGATAAAACCCCTTTATAAAAACAACAAGGTCAAGAAAAGCTTAAATATTATTCTGTTGCTCTTCGATTAAGTGCAATACGGTGCAATACGGTGCAATACGGTGCAATACGGTGCAACACTAAATTTAGGTATGCGCCATA